GTGCTTCCTGAAACTTAAAAGAAGTTTTATGCGTATTTTAAAGCAACGTAGACATTTCTACAAATATTCCCATCCATGTTGTAGTATATAAACCAGATTCAAAGCACAATTAAAGAGTTTTTTTATTTAAGCATAAATGTCTTTCTTGTAATATGAGTCATTGAGGGTCACATCCGAGTATAGCCCCACATGAAGAATTGAAAAACTCTCATTCGTAAGTTGGCATAAACTGGGAAATAAGTTGGTGAATATAGGACTATGTCAAAGTATCCTTTTAGTTCTGTGATTCTGATAGTTTTAGAATTCCGGGAGCAGAAAGAATACATTTTTCTCTCAGTCTGTTTACTGTGTATTGGGGTTATGAGCAAGGAGCTTCCCTTCCATTATCACAGCAGACTCCTATGGAATTCTTTATGCTTTTTTTTCAGGGAAAATGGATTTGAGGGACATTTTGAATGGTGCATCACAGATGAACAAATGTTGTTTGTGGTTGAACGTTACATTACAGATGACAAAACAAAATTACACTTATTTTAATATGTGCATACAGATGGTCTATTTTTAGACACCAGGAGATTGGGGAAGAAATAAGGATATAAAATAAAAGGTGTAATCACTGATAAAAATATTTATTGATGTATTTTAAAGTTTCAGTGGGATGATTTTTCAAAAATATATAAATCACCAAATTGTCAAAATTAGCAGAAAATCTGGCAATCATACCTAAGAGAGATGTTTAGAAAGTTTATAAACAACTAACCACGGGGATCAAATCATAGTTAAAATTTGACACAAATATTGAAGGAGGAGGGAAATGACACAAATCCCAATGTCATTAATATTGAACTTCGTTCACTACAAAAGGTGGGTAAATGGTTATTTCCTCTCATCCAGTGTCTTCCTGCACTAAAATTACTTCGTTCCCTTCCCCTTCCCCTTCCCCTTCCCCTTCCCGTTCCCTTCCCTTTCCTTTCGACGGAGTCTCACTCTGTTGCCCAGGCTGGAGTGCAGTAGCGCTATCTCAGCTCACTGCAGCCTCCACCTCCCGGGTTCAAGCGAGTCCCCTGTCTCAGCCTCCAGAGTAGCTGGGATTACAGGCATGCACCACCACACCCAGCTAATTTTTATATTTTAGTAGACACAGGGTTTCACCATGTTGGCCAGGCTGGTCTCGAATTCCTGACCTCAGATAATCTGCCCGCCTCGGCCACCCAAAGTGCTAGGATTATAGGAGTGAGCCACCGTGCCTAGCCTAAAGTTACTTTTCTTACATTCTGTCTTTTTAAATTTTTTGCCCTTTTATTAATTTTTTTAACTAATAGCTGCTTTCATGTAGTTTGGCAATTGTATTATATTTGGAACTGTTATATATATATTTCTTTTCTGGAAAATGGGAAATCGTACACACCCTTCCCTCATATCTTCCTAAAGCAGCTATGAGTCGAAACCCATTTTGTAGTGCTGGTGATCTTAAAGTATATTTAAAGGATGTATAACACACTATGTAATATCTATGATGGTAAAACCTGAAGAAAACTAGAACTTACTCTATTTGTGATTGGTCTAAAATATTAAATAAAACATGAATGAGGAAGGTACAGTATATCAAGAAGTTAGTTTCGAAAAAAAAAAAGTTTAGTTGAACTGAAGAATTAATTACAGTTTTCTTCTCATTCCAGATGCAGTCTTCGGGTGCTGCCCAGTAGCAGAGTAACTGTTTGATCTTTTTAACCCAAGTTCATCCTCTCAGACACGTTAGCCCTTTTGAGGTATCCTATAAAATACTGAGGTATGTGAAATAATATTTCTTTTTAAGTACTACTTAGATTTTATTTCTTCCTAAATTTCTTCCCTAACTACTTTCATCAGATGGATTATAAACGGTTTCTACTAAAAATCACTCAGCAACTTTACATAGATAGCTATGCCACATTAACTGATAGTACTCAGTGCAGAAATCAATCACATCCACCTCTGCTGGCTGTGACATTTTCTACAACTAATCTAAAAGACTTCCTGTTATCTACTACCTTTAATTAAATTTTCTATCAAAGGCAACCTTTTGCATACGAATTACTTTTTTGTTAATATTGTATCTTTTTGTAATGTTTTTGAAGACATTTTAAGAAAGAGTAATCCAAATTTAAGCTAAAATTCCAAAGCATGTATTAATTCCAATGAATATAATTCAACAGGGGTATGAATTGATGGAGAGAAAATCTTCCATTTGGCCTCAGTGTTAAGGCTTGGGTTCTTGCCCTTGTTTGTAAGGCGACTTAAATTTCTGCTTCCAGTCCTGTTCAGTACCCCATAAAGCACTTTTGTATGAATGAGAAAAAAACCATTGCTTCTGGCAACTGCAACATAATGGGCATGTAGCTTGACAAGCATATTACAGGCTGCATTTCAGACTCCGCTTACCCTCTCCATCAGGCACCATCCTGCAGGGCTGTTGTACGCAGTGAACTTATTTGGAACCAATGACATGCTCATCTGATAAAAAGCACAACAGTTAATCTAGTTACAGGTGAGAACTCAAGCAGCTTCACTCCAAGTGCTGATTCTTCTGCCTCAGAATTTCCTTAGTTTTCCTTAATTCAAAGTAGAATTAAGTAGGTTTCATAGGACAGATTCTCCTGAGGCATCAGCTTCCACATAACCAAACTAAGAATTGCATTGGAATATGGACATCTGATGAGGTCATTTGATAAGCTGATCCCTAGATACAGTCCCTGTACCTCTAACTTCCAGCTAAATAGAGAAGACCGTCCTGAATGGCCCACCATTCTCTGGGATTCTAACTGCATTGATCACATCAGGGTTCACATGGATATTTACCTTAGGCAGCGCAGTATTTCCAAGACTTCCAGAGGATCCATCTGTACGTGGACTCTTATTCTTTCCTACCTTATTAAAACCCTTCGCCTGTGTCATCTCAAACTTCAGTATTCTCACCCTAAAACTCTCCTACATCCTCCAACTCTGCCGTGAGCGTTCTCTATGTTTTGAAAACCTCCTGCCCCACAAATGAGTGTACTTTCCCTTCACACTCTTCAAGTCGAGATTTATGATTTTTCACTTTCTGTACCTCAAGGTCTTGATGAGGTTAAATACATTCTATTTATTTAATGTGACTTGAGACTCTAATTATTAAATGTGACTTTATTCTTTCTCATACTGCCCCTTCAAGCCCATTCTCTCAAGTTGTTCTTGCCTGTGTCTTGGTAAAAATCACAGGACCCATAGATTTTCCTGGTGATTCTCAGTTACTTTTAGGTAGTACAATGTCCATTGTAGTTTAATGATCACATAAATGTAAAACTTCCCTTCTTTCCTGGTTTGTGACTACAAACTGTAGGTGAAAGGGAGCTATAGTTGGCTTCTTCCTAATTATTGCATCAACTCTGTCACTGCATGTCACCACCTGCTGTTTGGAGCCCCTCCAGGGTCCTAGTGGAAGAAAGGAGAAGTGATAAGGGAAAGAAAAGCTGTTACTTGTCTGTGCATGTATAATTTAGCATGTTGCATTCTGTCCATCAGGTGAAAAAACTCTCACTCTTTCTCCTGTTGGAGCTTTGGTGGGTTCTCAGGAGACGATTCCTGGGTATCTCTCAATTATATTATTTTCAACCTGGGAAATTCTGCATCTGACTGGCCATGTACAACTCTGGTTTACCCCCCTTGTTTTTCTTAAATGTTTGCATCTTCTGGGTCATTTCACATTTCCAGGTAGGCCTCTTGAATGAAGCTTTCTCAAGACTACTTAATTTTGGTTCTTGGATAAGATCCATGTCTGGCCACAGGAAATTTCCATATATTCTGGCACCCTCTAAAGTCTTAGACTAGGCTCATCAATTAGTAGCCCTGTTTGCCCAGGAGACTTACCCATTTTCATAGCTGAAAGTCCCATATCCTGGAAACTCCCTTAGCCCTGGGAAAACCAAACCTCTTGGTCATTGTGCCTTGAGGTACAGAAAAATTATCCCTTCTCTGATGCCAGTAGGGCCAGCTATTACCAAGCCATCTCACATTTAAATTCTAATAGGTAGGAGGCAGATACCTGTTCTTATAATATTCAAAGTCTAAAAACTAATTCTAAGCTCCCTCTAAGTTCTTTCTGAAGATGTTTCATTTGACTTAATGAAGAGGAGGCATCCACTTCTTCCCCTCACCAAGGAAGTGGGGGACAGAATACTCAGCTCATGAAGCCAAGGTCTCCCGGAGAGTAGATGATGGGCTAATGCTAGTGCAACCTGTTTCTCAGTCTTACAGATAACTTGGACACATGGTCTAGCAACTTGCTTTAGAATATGGGGTTACTTGAATCAGCTGTGTTGCTGCAGACTTTTGAGATCTTTAACCAAGATGCTGAGTCAATAAGAATAATATTTAATATCATATTTCTAGACCTAAACATGAAGTTAGTGTTCTCTGTTCCTTTAAGTCTATCTCTTCTTCCTTCAAGATTAACAGTAACTTTGAAATGTCTGACATCAGATTAGCCACTTGATCATCTTCTTTGTTGCTTTTAAAAATGGCTACAAGGCTTTATGTAGTCATTACAAGAGTTTCCCTATATCAAAATCATTTTAAATTTCTATTTTATGTTATTACCTAGTATGTGTTGAATTCAGAAAAATATATTGTCCTCACATGTTGCCCCTCTTGTATTCTTTTTCATTTAAGTACAGTATTTAATTTTTTTTAAAAAAATCATTATAGTTTATTCTTAATAGTAAGGTGTAAAAATATGTTGAGTTTATGGGAATGCTAAGCTTGACCAAAGGATATTTGCAACAGAGTTTGAATTTTCAGCTCAGGCAACTAGGCACATTCAATAGTTTTTAACACAAGCATCAGACCATTCCATTTTAAACTACCCGGTCAAAAGTCTGTCGATGACTCATCTGTATTTTCTCACAAAGAAACATATATACACACACAAACACACACACATTCATAAACACTCTGAATAATCTGAATATAATGAGTTTTTTGTGAATTTAGAACAGATTTATTTTCATTTTATGCATTCCCTTTCTGATCACTCTACTCCCATCTCAGGGGAAGAAGACAAATCTTTAAAGCAAATCCTATGTCCATCGTGCATCATAAGACGACAATATTCAGTAGGAATTCTCAACCATAGAGACACTCTTTGAACACCTGCAGACAATAAAATGATAATTTTTAGCCTTGGGTTAAGTAATCATCTGCTCTCTGCCATTAGATAACTATTGCATAAACATTTCTTATTCTCCTTTGTTACCAAAAAACAGACATCATTAATTATGGAGCTGAAACCCAATGCAGGTAGTTTGGTGCTTCTTTGAGAGGTAGTCTTATAGCAAAAATACAGCTCATTCAGGAGAAAAACATCAAAATGAATTCACTTTGAAGGTCATATATTGATATCTAAAGAATGTGCTGGTAAATACATTCATTTACCCAAATGTATAATTTTGCTTCAATTATAATTATATGTGAAAACCACATCAACTGATGTTAAAAGCTGAGAATATGTAATAAAAACACTAAAACACATGAGAAATTTATGACACCAAAGATTCAAATAATTCACAAGTCCTGAGAAATCATTGGTAGCTACCATCACCTCCATGCTCCAAATGGTTAAGGATCACACAATTTTAATGTATGTGTGGAATCTCAACTCTACCATATTATAATTGCATGGATTTTGGCAAATCAGTCCCAATGACTAACAGACTTACCAATTCTTAACATTAAGAAATGTTTCTAGTGAAGCTGTTTTTAAAAAATACAGTGTAGTGACAATGATTTGGGGGGCTGAGAAAAACATTGCATGAACAGTATATAGTCAGTAATTGCACATATTTTTAGCCAATCTTACCTGTATAGTAGCTCTTAGTGTCTGAAGCTAACTAATGGAAATATGACACATGTGAACCTTCTCTCAGGTGTAGCTATAGAAAGATAATGACTGACAGTCACTGAAGTACTTTCCCAAGAACCTCTAGCATAACTTAGCCAGCACTTAACTTTGGGTGAGATGATATGGAAAAATACAAATGGTTAATTTTTTACAACTGCCAAGGCCTATGTTTGTAAAACTTCCAAATATTGAGGACAAAAGAAGCTATAAGTCAGAGGAAAAACAGGTCCACAAAAATGGTTAGGTGCCCAGATGACTGGGTGCTTTTAATAGAAGCACTGACAGCTGGAAGACAGTGGAGACATGGTTTCAAAAATCCGAGGTTAAAAACATTTCCAACCTCGAGTACTATACTAAGCTAATATTAGGCAAGAATGACAATAGAAAGATGACATACATACATACATATATATATATATATATATCTCCTCAGAAATTTAACTTTTTATGCATTCCTTCTATATTCTGCCATAACAAGGAAGTAAATTATTAGGTTGCTACAAAAGTAATTGCTTTTTTTGCCGTTGAAAGTAATGGCAAAACTGCAATAACATTTGCATCGACATAATAAAAAGAGAAATATAAGCTACACCAAACAGGGGATACAAACAAACATTATGGATAAGGTGAAGGGATATCCCAGGGAAGCAAATATGCACCTATCTCACAGAGCAACCAGACAAAACTGGAATATGTCAGAACCTCTGGGAGGGATGATTCCAAAAAGAAGACATTGATGCAATACCTACTGCATTTGCGTGGCTTAAAAGCAAATTTAGATAATTATTGGAAAGCCAGTGTTGGAAGTAACAAGTAATATTTAGTATACTGAACAAATGGGAAAAAAAAAAAAAAGCAACATGGATACTAATAGACCTAGGGAACAACAGCCAAAAGATTTGTGCAAGAAAGGAAAACTAGTCATGGTGCCAAATATGTTTAGTTGTGCATAGCATATGTGTAATTTTGGTAATACAAACAGAAAACTGATATAACCAAACTTATCATATAAAATATTGAGAAGGTAAAAAAAAAAATGTATTTGGTGTGTGTTGGTATGATATTAGATTTGGGGTCGAAATTGGGACATCAGTAGAAAATGTCTAGTATTAAAAAACCAGGAATTAGTAATATAAGTGAGCTTAGTAGAGATGTGAAAGTAAATATCTAAAGAATAAGCTAAAGAGTTTCAAGTAGTTGCTTTTAGGGAACAACCTGAGGGAAAGGGAAGACAAGGAACTTTTCCTTATTTCCTGGTTGATCCTTATCCATATCCTATTGATCCTTATCCATCCTTGCCTGTCCTCCTCAGGCTTTCTGGAAGGCTGCCCTCTATGGTTTACAATACCCAGACTCCTTTGCCCTCTGACTTGCAGCTGGGTTTGTCCAGTGGGATGTACTAAGAGGAAATTTAAATATCAAAGGGCAGGAGGAGAGGAAGATAAAAGTATTTACCTTAATCCCTCCTGCTTTCTGACTCTCTCTTGCACTAACAAGTGTCCCCCTTCCAGGCTTGACCTCTCACCTGAACAGAATTAATGAATAAATTCAAAATTTAAATCGAAATAGTCCGTTGTATAACCTATGTTTACTTTTTCATTTTAAGCATGATAAAATCTTAACCATTGACATATTAGGCAGCTGACAGTTAAAATATATTTAGAATAAATGCATGTATACTTGCCCAATATGATAGATACAAGCTTGAATATTTGTTCCAGAGAATTGAGACTTGGTCTGTTCCTGGAAACTCATTTTTAGACTTACCTCTGTGCTCTGGTGGTGCAGGTGGACATGAGCATGGCTGAGGATCCTGTCAAGATTGCTGAAATCAGACACTACTTGAAGATATTAAGGGACTTTATATTGTAAAACCCTGGAATCCTTCCCAGTCCACCCTCAACTGACTGGCATGCACCCCTACACCCGAATATGTGCACACACACACACACACAGACCTGGGAAAAAATGAGAGAGCCTACCTACATCCCCCCTCCACCAAAAAAAAAAATACACCCAAGGACATGGACCTTGCCTCAGGTACTGCAAAATGTAGAGGGAACAGACACTGATAATGTGACAATTTGCATTTTTCAATATTAAAGAAGAAAACCCGAGGCTTTGTACAATATTCTTAAGGAATTATTGCAAATATAATATATTTGAGCTACTACAGTAGCCTTATCAGGAAACCTACCTTTAGCTGACCTTAATGACGATGAAAGTGCAGTGCTGACCTGTCTACCTGTACAAGCACTTAAAGGTAATTTGAAAAAAATGCAAATTCGAATGTCTATTGGGCCACTGGCAAAAACAGCTACAAGAGGCTGCCATAATAATCTCTGAAAGCAGTAGTTTACAAGAACAGGTTAGGATGAGGTCAGGGAAGGAGGATGGCAATGCTGATCATAGTAGATCAATACTGACACTGTCTTGATTCCTTACATTGTATTGTACGCATTTAGTTTACCCTGAGTAGTAATCCTCAACCTACTTCTGCATTTTTTCTCCAAACGCCAATCTAAGAGCATATGGACAACCTATTTATATGTTTCTGTTTGAAAAATGTCCATGATATAAATTGGTTAATCTCTTTTTATTGTCCTTCCAAATCGGCTCGCTTTGCTTTAAGATCCACATCTTATTCTGTTATCTGATATACACAGAAAATTACTTCTAAAAATATTTTCTGTAACTTGCATGGTTCATCAGATGCTGAATAATAAAACAAGACTAATTTTCATATTTTATGTCTTAATGTCTCATTATAGTTAATAATAATTGGGAAAATATATAAACTGGGGAAGAGCTCAATTTAGGAAACACAGTGTCTTAATAAAGCCACAAGATAAATTGTGACTTTGCATTATCTCTTTTTCTACCCACTGTGTTCACCCTTTTTAAGAACTCAAACTGGCTGGTTTTTATACTGCCCTTCAATCTCATGCGACAGATACTCATTGATTATTTAGCATTTCCCAGGCACAATGTTAAGGAATTCTCATAGAGATAGGAGTTGAGTCCATGTCATCTGACTTCAAGTGCAGTGCTTAATCAACCACCATTCACCACCTCCATTCTAATGGACCTGTGATTAGTTGCTCAAGACATTTCATCATTCTGAAAGTGAAATAAAAGGTAGTCCTTTATCTTATGATTTAATACAAAATGTACTTACCTTCTTCACATGAAGTCATGTATTCTCCTTAGTGAGAAACAGATGGGAGAAATACAGTGTTATAATTGAGAAACAGATGGCTCCTGTAGTAGCCAAATTAATGACCTCCCCAAATATATTTAAGCCCTACCAGGCTTGGTGGCTCATGCCTGTAATCCCACCACTTTGGGAGGCTGAGGCAGTCAGATCCTTTGAGGTCAGGAGTTTGAGACCAACCTGACCAATATAGTGAAACCCCATCTCTACTAAAAGTACAAAAATTAGCTGGGCATGGTGAGGCACGCCTATAATCCCAGCTACCTGGGATGCTGAGGCAAGAGAATCACTTGAACCTAGGAGGTGAGGTTGCAGGGAGCCGAGATAATGCTACTGCACTCCAGCCTGGGCAACAGAGCAAGACTTTGTCTTTAAAAAAAAGAGATTCAAGCCCTAATCCCCAGAACATGTTACCCTGTGTGGTGAAGGAAACTGTACAGATGTGATTAAATTAAGGCTCCTGCAATAGGGAGATTATCCTGGATCATCCAGATAGGCCCAACATAATCAGCAGAGTTCTTACAAGAGGGAGCAGGTGATGTGATGACAGAAGCGGAGGCTGAGTGATGTAGCCATGAGCCTAGAAATGGGGGCTTACTCTGGAAGCTGGAAAACACGTGAAATAAATGGATTCTTCTCTAGCACCTGCAGCAGGAACACAGTTTTGTCACCAGCTTGATTGTGATGCTTTGTACTTCTGACCTCCAAAAATGTAAGAAAATACACGTGTTATTTTAAGCCACTGAGTTTGTGGTAATTTTGTTACAGGAGCAGTGGGAAATTCATGCAGTTTCTTTTTAGTTCACCAAGCACAAATCTTACATACGACTTGCCAGAGTATGAGGGCACAGTGCAAACAAAACACAATCTACTTTTGATCCACTAGGCGCATATATGTTTGCTCTTTATTTGTCTTCTAGTCCTACTCACTGATGTGTATGCCATTCATAGACTTCTAAAGCAATCTTTCATTTCTTTCTCAACTGTAGTTGGCCTTCTGTATCCATCAGTTCCATATCAATGGATTCAACCAACTGTATGTAGATTGTAAGTATTCAAAAAATTTTTTTCACAAAGTTACAAAAAGAAAAACTTACATTTGCTACATGCCAAGTACTATGTTGAATCCATGAGAATAAAGTAACGTGTAGGCATTGTATTAGGTATTATTATATACTAGTTTCCAAAGGAACACAGCAGGTGCTATTCTAGCTGTATTTTCAGCACTCCTGGAACCAATTAAAGCCAGCCAGATGTTAAGTGGAAACCATTTTTTAAACAGGAAAAGGAGTCAGAGTAGTACAGCAGGTATAGAGGATCACTGATATGATAAATGTTGTAGTGTATAGTATGTATATGTAGTGCATTTTTACATATATGGTGGAAAGATAAACTATCCCATTATAGTAGACTCTAGTCCTTCCCCTTCCAGAAATAAAACTTCTCCAAGAGTTTTATCATTTTCTTCATTTAAATTTCTAGAAACAAAACTTATGTCAGTCTTTTCATTAATATATGGAAGGATAGATATTATTTTTCCTTTTTATCGTTCATCTTTCTATAGGTAGCCATTGTTTCAAGTTATAGTCTTTTCTAATTTGTCTTAAACACTATCTGGTTTTCCTTCAAATGAATTTTATATAAATGATCCTATCCAGATATAATGTATATACCATAAACTGTACATATTTAAAATATACAATTGGACAAGTTTTGACATGTTGCTAAGTCAGCAACCATCACCAGAATCAAGAAAATGAACACAACCGTCTGCCCCCTTAAAATTGTCTCCTGCCCTTGTGTAATTCCCCTCAGGTACCCCCTACCCTCAGCTGTAGACAACCATTGAACTGCTTTGTGTCACTCTAGATTAATTTACATTTTCTAGAGTTGTATATAAATGTTATACCATATGCTCACATTTTAATCTTGCTCATTCCTTCAGTACATTTTTTTGGGATTTATCCTTGCTGCATATATCAAGAGTTCATTTATTTTTAATGCTAAATAAGATTCCATTCTATGAATGTATCATAATTACCTTTTCAATTCACCTGTTGATGGACATTTGGATTATCTCTAGTTTTTGGCTATTACAAATTAATCTGCTGTAAACTTTCAGGTAATATGTTTATATGGGTGTATGTTTTCGTTTCTCATGGGTAAATACCTATGGGTGGTATGATCATCGTATGCTAGGTGGAAAAAAGGTGCCAAACTTTTATTTTTTTCTTTTGGAGACAAGGTCTGGCTCTGTTGCCCAGACTAGAGTACAGGGACTTGATTGTGGCTCACTGCAACCTCCAACTCCCAGGCTCAAGCCATCCTCTCAGCCTTCTGAGTAGCTGGAACTACAGGTGTGTACCACAATGCCCAACTAATTTCTGAATTTTTGGTAGAGATAGGGTTTTGCCATGTTACCAAAGCTGGTCTGGATCTGAGCTCAAGCGATCTGCCCCACTTTGGCCTCCCAAAGTGCTGGGATTATAGGCTTGAACCACTGCACCTAGTCCTGCCAAACTTTTAAAAACCTAATTATATTAATACTATTTTTCATTCTCACCAACAATTATACAATTTCTAGTTGTTTCTCATTCTCTCCAAGACTTGGTGTGATCTGCCATTATATTGGTTGTATAATGACATCTAATTTTGTTTTGCATTTCCCTAATGACTATGAGGTTGAACATCATTTTATCCGATTGTCATCCATTTATCTTTGGTTAATGAGGGCTCTGTTCAAATACTTTGCACATTTAAAAAAACAAACTGTTGATATTGTCTCTTCAGTTTTTAGAAATATTAGACAATTACTATTTCTTTTCACTGCAATATATGATAGAATTAATCAGTGAAGCTATATGGGCCTGGAGTTTTCTTTATGGGGAGGTTTTTAACTAAAATTCAATTTCTTGAATAGATATAGAACTTCTCTTGCTATCTTTTTCTTTTTAGGTGAACTTTAATAGATTGTGTGTTTCAAGGAATTTTTCCTACTTTATAAGTGCTATAGAATTTATTCGCATTAAGTTGTTAATAATATTGCTTATTTTCCTTTAGTTATCTATCGATTCTGGAGCAGTGTCACTTCTCTTACTACATATAATATTGGCAATTTGTGTCTTCTCTTTTGTTCTTGGTTAGTTTGACTACTTTATTAATTTCCTGATACTCTCCAGTGCAGTGTGGATTTCTCCTACTATGTGATGTCAGGTAAACGTTCAAGTTAATATTCCTTCTTATTATTTCTAACACATTGAGTTAGAATAGCATATTTTAGCTCATTATGTTGTGAATAATACAGACTTTGCTATATTTTTCTATATTTAAACACCAATATCTGAATTTTCTAGTAGAATGGTGCATATTATTGAAAGAGGGGCTCTTTGAGTAAAAAAATATGGATTTGAATCCTGAATAATATCCATCATGATTTCCAGTTATCTCATGTGTGAATGAGGATAATAATACTTATCTTTTAGTCACTGGGAAGACTAAATGAGGCAAACTACATAAAGCATAGTAATTGACACATAAAACATTAATCAGTATATAACATTATTTGATTTTTAATTAATCTACACTATTTTTCTATCCATTGTCATTTCTTGTTTCAGATTAAAATTCAATGAATAAATCTTTATAAATCTCCTAAATTATTTTTCAAAAGGCATATTATGTTTTTGCATTCAGAATTATAAAAGCAATATTCTTGCCTCTTAAATTAGACTTTGTCAGAATGCCATTCGAATGGTCAGAGCAAAAGACTATCAATTATACAGTATTTGAAAAACAGACTTTTTGCATTAATATAGAAGTTTGCATGGCTTTGCCTTTAGAAAGAAAAATATTATGACTCTCTTTTCCCCCTTCTTGAAGTGCCTTGCCAATCACATGGCACCGTGATGTCAGATAGCAATGGCAGATGTCATTACAAGGATAGCAGACACAGTAAGAACTGGATTACTTCATGGAACATAATATGCTTTATTCAGGAATAAAGAAAATCATGCAATGGAAGAGAACGTAAAGTAGGAACAGAAGATTGCAAAGATCACAAAATATTCCAGTGTACTTCTTTTTTTCTTTAGTGACAGAAATATTTTAATAGTGCTCAGGCTGGTCTTGCACTCCTGGGCTCCAGCCATTCTCCATCCTCAGCCTCCTAAGTAGCTGGAATTACAGGCACATTACACCACACCTGGCTCCAACATACTTTTTGAGTGCATATATGACCCATGGGAACTCTAAGAAATAGTTTGCTACATTTGTTTTAAAGAAATTAGAGGTCCTTCAATGGTAGTTGGAGTCTGAAGGTTATGAACTAACATATGGAAGTTAGAATCCTGCATTTGTATCAAAAGAATCATGGTAATATGATTTAACAAAAAAACCATAACCAACCATAAATATGATTTCAAACTTTTTCTTATAGAAACTATTATGGTATGGGTTAAAAAACACACAATTAGAGACTTTGACTATTTTTAAGTCAACGTCACATGTTTAAATAATACATGCTGATGATACTTAGAATTCCTGCTCCAACACTGATCTCATTTCTCTCACTTGGCCTTCATACTGCATATTCAACTGCCTTCTACTCTAGTGGTCAATAGCTACCTAAAAATCAACATGTCTAATTTAGAAAGAAATTGTGTTTTTTTTTTCTTGTGCCCAAATTTTTCTATTTCATTCTTCTCCATTTTAGTAAATAACACACTGATATTCAGGCCAAAAATCCCTACTAATCTTTGATTTCATCTTTTATTCTTTTTTTCCCCTTCTTCCCTTTCTTCCTTCCTACCTTCCTACTTTCCTGCCCTCCTGCCTTTCTTCCTTGCTTTCTTCCTTTTCTTTCTTGCTATATTCTAGAAAACATAGCAATGCCTAGAATGTACTAATAGCTCAATACATATTTATTAACTGATTGGATGAATGAATACATAATTG